AGCAAAGTGAATTAGAACATGGGCAGAGAGATCAAGTTACGTACAGGGGCCAGTGCTAACTCCGAGAAGGCCTTCTGGGAACTCAGGAATAAAGACAAGATGAAGCGGGTAGTGGTGGTGTGCGCCTATAATTCCACCTACTCAGGAGGCTGGGGCATAAAGATCATGATTTCAAGGCCGTGATTTCATGATTATGAGCAACATAGCAAAACCCTATCTCTAAAAAACAAAAAAAAGCAAAACCCAAAACCAACATGTTCAAAAGTTTTGGTTTAAATGCACTGATTTTTGATCTATTAGCTGTTTACAGTTTCCAAATGTCAGCCAGTATTAATGCCTGTTAGGTAGGCAAGACTTGTTTTCATAGCATCCTAACCAATTAGGTGGGGTTTAGGAGCTTTATTTTCTAAGAAGTGATTCAATCCAATTCTGTAATGATTAGAGCAGGTCATATAATTTTATTCACATTTGAATCCCACTGGAGTCAGGGATGAAGTAGAGCATTCTAGTCTAGAAACGAAGTGTTCTGGTAATGTCTCAGGTGCTCTTGGAGCTAACTAGTCACTCTAAGAATGTGGGGTCCATAATTTCTCTGATTTCTAGGTTTCTCTGGTTTCTAGATGCATGAAATGAATCTAGATGCATGCTGTCAGAGTCCAAAAGAACCAGTCACAGTGTCCACTATCCCCCTTGACCTGAGGCTCGCTTTTACCTTTCAGGAAATTTTACATTTTCACAGCACATTAGGTCGTGGCATGTAAGTGTTGGGTCGAAGTTCCACTGCCAGTTGCAGAGGAATCTGTGTTTCGTTTCTGGAGGAACCCCCACACAGAAGTCTCTTGTATTTAACTGTCTCGAAGTGAAACCAGCATATCGATGTCCAGTTTGGGATTAGTGTGATCTCCCGTGCCTGATACCAGACACCCCTCACTGGCTGCCCTCCTGGCCACTTTTTCTAGACAGGGTCACAGTAGTACTCTTTCTCACATTGCTCTAACCCCTTTTAAATGTGGTTAGAAGAGCCAGGAGGTAGTGTGGTGATGAAGGCTCTAGACACCCACATGACTGACTATGGTTCTAGTCCTCAACTTGGAGGCTTGCTTTCTCTCTTGCTCTCTCTGGTGAGTGCATATGCTCTATGGCAAGTTAAAAATAATAAATAATTTTGGAAAAAAAGGGGGGTCAGAACCTCCCACACCCCAAAATAGACACTTGGTACAAAGCTTAGATAGAGGTTACAGACCAACTCCAGTGTCCACCCTCCTGTTCTGTGCAGATCTAGACCAGCTACGTGTCCAGCTCTGGCGGAGAGCTGAAAGTACTATACTCTGCAGCAGAGGGCTATAAACAATTTAGGTAATACTTCAGTTTTATTTCACATTACCTTAAACAGGAAATAAAGGAACAATAAAACCTTTTCTATTCCTTGTTCGTTTATGTTTTACTACTTAGAAAGAATGGTTACAGGGACCACGTGCCGCGGCAGCTTGGGGCAGTGCTGTGGCTCACAGCCCTATTCCAGGCATCAGCCAGTCTTGCCAGACCCTGATGTCACGCAGCCTGTACTGCAGCCCCAACTAGAAAAAATGGCATTGCAAAATTATTTTGAAATATCATAAACATCAAAAAGATTCTTTCAAAAAGATCCTGAGAATAATATTGTGAATACTGTTATATCTACTTTTTGGTTTAAGAAGTAAAACATTAACTACCCAGTTGAATTTCTCTCCTTCCCAGAGAGAGGTAGCCACTTCATTGAGTTTGGTGTTTATTGTACTTCCTCATATGTGTAGGTAGTCTATCTGTATTTTTATACATGTGTATAATCTAAACAGTGTATAATATTGTTTTACATGGTTTAAAACCTGAAATGGTGGGGGACTGGCAGGTGGCATGGTGGTTAAGGGTGCTGGACTCCCACATGACCAACCATAGTTTGAGTCCTGGACATGGTGGGTTGCTTTCTCACTTTCCGTGTCTCTAGCTCTCTCTCTCATTCTTTCCCTCTCTGATCAAATTAAAATAAATAGATAACATTAAATAAAACAATTCTTTTTTTTTGAGAGGTTTTTGCTATAGAGCGCGTGCGTTCACCAGAAAGACAGAGAGAGACAGAGAGACAGAAAGTGAGAAATCACCCCCCAGGGGGAATGCCACAATCCCTTCTCCTCCGTTCTCCTCTCGGGATCTTGGGCACATATGCACATGCGCCTGGTGTGAGTTTAAGCTGCTGGGTCCAGGACTCAAACCGCGGTAAACTACATGGGAGTCCAGCAACATAGCCATTACACTAACTGCTGGTCCCAATAAAATCTTTTTTTTTTTTTTTTTTGAGAGGTTTTCGCTATAGGGCGCATGCGCTCGCCAGACAGACAGACAGACAGAGACAGAAAGCGAGAAATCACCCCCCAGGGGGGATGGTCATGCCGCAATCCCTTCTCCTCCATTCTCCTCTCGGGATCTTGGGCAGGCACGCACATGCGCCCGGCGTGAGTTCTAAGCCACTGGGTCTGGGACACGAACCATAGTCGACTACGTGGGAGTCCAGCGACATAGCCATTACGCTAACTGCTGGTTCCCCCAAATAATTCTTTAAAAAAAAGAACAAAACCTGAAGGGGTGAAACCAGCAGGTAGTAAAATGGTTACGTTGTTAGACTCCCATGTAGTCAACTGCGGTTCAAATCCTGGATCTGGCAGCTTAAATCTCATGCCAGGTGTGTGTGTGTGTGCATGCATGCTCAAAATCCCAAGAGGAGACTGGAGGAGAAGGGACTGCAGCGAGCCATCCCCGCTGGGGGGATTCTGGGCAGTCACATGCATGCCTAGGGTGATTTTCAAGCTGCTAAGTCTGCAACTTGAGCTGTGATGTCCATGTTGGAGTCCAGCACCTTAACCACCATGCTACCTGCTGGCCCCTATAACTGACTATCAAATAAAATAGCAAAAGTAAAAGAAAAAAAATTATGTGTGTATATGTAAGGAAAACCATAAAGCAGATATGTTAGACTGTTAATGAGTGGTGCATTTTTTTTTTGGAGAAGTTTTTGCTATAGGGCGCATGTGCTTGCCAGGAAGACAGAGAGAGAAACAGAGAGAGAGAAAGCGAGAAATAACCCCCCAGGGGGATGGCTACACCGCAGTCCCTTTTCCTCCATCCTCCTCTCGGGATCTTGGGCATGCACGCACACGCGCCAGCGTGAGTTTAAGTCACTGGGTCTGGGACTTGAACCACATTCAACTACATGGGAATCCAGCGACATAGCCATTATGCTAACTGCTGGTCCCTGAATGGTGCATTTTTGTTAAGACATATGAGTATTAGCTATTACTATTCTTACAACTTCTTTGTAGCACTGAAAATTTTAGCATAAATAGTTGGCAAAAAATATTCAGATCAAAGAAAAATGAAATACTTATAGTACAGATAAAAAGCTTTATTTTAAGCTGGTAAGAATATAAATGCTAGCATTTGAACAAGAAAATGACTAAAAGAGAAATACAGAAAGCCCTTAAGCCAAAGGATACTTGATATCAGTAGTGCAAGGATGCTCATTTTTTTTAAAAAAATAATTATTTATTTAATTTTATTTATTTATTCATTTATTTTAATTTGGCCAGAGAAAGACAGACACACAGAAAAGAGAGTGAGAAAGCAAGTCACCAGGTTCAGGCCTTGTGGGAGTGCCCAGCGCCGCAACCACCATGCCACCTGCTGGCCCAAAAGGATGCTAATTTAAATGAGCTGCCAGAGACCAGCACATGGCTTAATGGTTATGTCGCTGGACTCCCACATAGGTGACTGTGGTTCGAGGCCCAAACCCAGGAGCTTAAAATTTAGTCCAGGCACATATGCATTTGTGCCCAGAATCCTGAGAGGAGAATGGAGAAGGGATTGCATCGTGGCCATCCCCCTTGGAAGGTGATTTCTCCCTTTCTGTCTCTCTGTCTCTCTCTGTCTCTGATGAGCACACACACCCTATAGCAAAAATCTCTCTAAATAAAAATAAAAATAAATGAGCTGTCATTATTCTGTCAAGGTAGCAAAAATGATAATGCTCAATGCCGATGGGATGCAACACATTGAACAAACTCATAAACTGTTGGAAGTATAGTTTGGTGTCCATCTTGTGTGCAGTCTGGCAGAATCTGAATTCTTAAAATCTGTATTTTCTTTTTCTCCTTATTTTTTTAAAGAGAGATTTTTGCTATAGGACTTGTGCGCTCACCAGAGACAGACAGAAAGGGAGAAATCACCCCTCAGGGGCGACGGTCACATTGTAATCCCTTCTCCTCTATTCTCCTCTTGGGATTTTGGACACACACATATGCACCTGGCATGAGTTTCAAGCCTCCAGGTGTAGGAGTTGAATCACATTGCCCATGCGAGAGCCCAGCAATGTAACCATTATGCCATTTGCAGGTCTCAAAATCTGTATTTTCTTGAAACAGCAATTTAAACAAGCCAAATCTAATGTGGTGATTGTATAAATAAGATTATTTGTAAAAGCGTGTTTGTTACAACATGGTTAATAAAAGCAAAATGCAAAACTTTTCTTTAAACGTCTGTCAGTTGGGGTTTGGTTTTACACATAGTAGAATACTGCTTAACCACTGACACAGAAGTTAATATAGTGATGTGGAATGGTATCCCTGATCATTACGTTAAGATAAAAGCAGGGAAAGTATATATAGTACTGACCCATTTAATAGTCTTGGTTTTATATATACCTGTATTATGTAGATTTTGAAATGGGTGGGAGAGTATCTAAAAAGGTAACTTATGGAAGAATGAGGCTTTTAATTTTTTTCTGTGTTTGGAATTTTTAAAAAAGGAAATAAAGATCATTTAATAGAAAATATAAATTTTAGTTAAGAAGCCTATCCACTGTTTTTTCCTTCAAAAAATTTCTTTGTATCCTGCTTCGTTACTATAGTCATCTTTGTTAATAAAAGAAATGTGTGAAGAAGCTCATTTTGCTCTTGTGTATTCTGTTTCAGAGCAGTGGAAAGAGCTCAGTGCTTGAAAGCCTAGTGGGGAGGGACCTACTTCCTAGAGGTACTGGTATTGTCACCCGGAGACCTCTCATTCTACAGCTGGTCCATGTGTCACCAGAAGATAAACGAAAAACAACTGGAGAAGAAAATGGTAAATTTCATAATTAGAATAAGACTTATTTTAAACCTATAGTCATTAAAATATATGAATTGAGATAATTAGAAATCAATTGCTATAGCAAAATCAGAAGTCCTACGAAGAGAGGTACTATGCAGCTTTCTTTTTTTTTCTTTTTTTAAAGAATTGTTTATTTAATTTATTTATCATCATTACTTTCAATTTGACTAGAGAGAGACAGAGAGACAGAGGGAGGGGGAAAGTAAGAAAATAAGTCACAAGGGCCCGAGACCCGAACTGTGGTTGGTCCACCATGTGGGAGTCCCATGCCCCAACAGCCATGCAACCTGCCAGCCCCTTAATGTATCTGTCTTTTTAAATTTTTTTTTAAGAATTGTTTATATAATTTTATTCATTCATTTATTTTAATTTGGCCAGAGAAAGACAGTCATACAGAGAGAAGGAAAGTGAGAAAGCAAGCCACCAGGTATGGGACTCAAACCATGGTTAGCATGTGGGAGTGTCCAGTGCCTTAATCACTACACCACCTGCTGGCCCCTTTATGTGTCTATCTTAATGTAAAAAGAATAATTTTTGTTGTTTTGAAAGCCCATGGGTTGGGAAAAGTACCTTTGAGGTAATTTAGCTTAGTAAAGTGTTATCAGTGTTTTTTTGTGGAAGATCTAGTGAGGCACTCGGGAAACAGAAATCAGTTAAAGAAAAACATTTACATTAAAGTCTTTTGTAGTGTTTTAAGTATTTTTTTTCACCTAGTGTTTAAACCATTGGAGTTTTTTTTTTTTTTTTTTTTTTTACTTTGATTTAGAATTTAAGTCATTTAGATTGTGGTTGAAAGATTTTATTTTATATATTTGGTTGTCAGGAAAATCATGACATATTTTTCTATGTAAAAATATGTCATGACATTCTCAACAACTCAGTAAAATCAAAATGACTAATTTTTAGCTTAGTAATGTTATTTAACAGTCCTACTTCTGGTCTTAATATGTGCCTGCTATTTTTTATTCTCTTGTCCTAAAGAGTTTTAATTTGAAAATGATTATTAATTTTCACTCCTTCTTTTGCTGAGCTTTATGTACTTAATATTACACTGAATTTTTAAAAATGGTTTTAATTTTTTTTTTTTTTATTTGGAGAGATTTTCACTGTAGGGCGCGTGCGCTCGCCAGACAGACAGAGAGAGACATAGAGACAGAAAGCGAGAAATCACCCCCCAGGGGGGATGGTCACGCCGCAATCCCTTCTCCTCCATTCTCCTCTCAGGATCTTGGGCACGCATGCACATGCGCCCAGCGTGAGTTTTAAGCCACCAGGTCCAGGACGCAAACCGCGATCAACTATGTGGGAGTCCAGCGACATAGCCATTACGCTAACTGCTGGTCCCACAAATATATATTTTTCAAGTTTATTTAAAAAGAAAGAAAGAAAAGGTCAGATGACAGCCTGCCCGTAACCTAGTAGTTACGGGAGCTGGATCCACATGGCCGTCTGTGGTACAAATCCCTGCCCCTGCAGCTTGGAACACATGCTAGGTGTATGGATGCATGTGCAGCATGGACAAATGGAGAAGGGATTGTGGTGTGACCACATTTCACTGGGGGGGGGGGGCTTTCTCTTTCTCTCTCTCTCTCCCCTCTTCTGGTGAGTGCACATGACCTCTGGCAATTAAAAAAAAGAAAGAAAGAAAAGAAAGAGCAAATGATATCCTGTCTCTTAGACACTATTTACAGACACAGGCAGTGTTTTCTTATATACAACTTTGCTTGTTAAAAGAGGTATTTGTTTCAGCTATGTAAGTGTCAGCTTCTTGGCATCTCTTTGCTACTTGTATGGCCATTACATTTTGTTGGTGTCTCTTGGTGGTTGGTCAGTAAATCTGTGTATCTTTACCTGTATATATATATTTTTCCAAGCTTAGTGCTTATTTTATAGATAACTCACTTAAAATGACAACTCAGCTACCCAGAACACAAAATAGACTTTATAAATTGAAGTACTGAATTTGATGTGTTTTTAATTCTAGGATAGTCCCTTACCTTCTCATCAGAGCCTGTATCCTTGGGATAAACAATTCTAGCTTACCATAAATCATCTAACCCACAGGAAATTAGAAACCATGGAGCAGAGAAATTCAGTTAGCTAGAAGAGTATGAATTTCCTCATAGCCTGGCAGTGACAGAGAAGAAAAATAACATAAGCAGACAGAACAAATTCAAAATAAGAGACAACAGTCATTGTCCATGTTGTTTACAGCCTGGAAGAGCTTTGCTATAGAACAAAGGTCCAAATTCCCAATGGTAGGTTAAGAATAGCACATTTTAAGATGACATGGAGAAGTGTAATCCATTTTAGATACAGGGCCATCAAAACTTGGTAAATATTTTAGTGTCCTACATGTATAATTATCAGGAAAATGTGTTTAAATGGGATCTTTTTGTCAACTATGTGGAATAAGTTTTCAATATATAGATTTGTGGTATTCTTAGCTTAACCCCCACTTCTGCCAATGTAAATTTTTTTTTTTTTTTCAGTTTTTGCTATAGGATGTGTGCACTTACTAGGGAGAGAAAGGGCATGCATACGAGAGAGAGGGGAAAAGAGATGGAAAGTGAGAAATTATCCCCTGGGAGGATGGCCACACCTCAATCCTTTCTCCTTCAGTCTACTCTTAGGATTTTGGATTTTGGACTTTGGACATGCACACAAACATATGAAGTGTGATTTTCAAGTGACTGGATCTGGGGCTGGAACTGTACAAGCTGGCTTTGTGGGATCCAGTGCTTTAACTTCCATGCCTTCTGCTGGCCCCAATGTAAAATAATTTTTTAGGGTTAATTAATTTATTTAATTCCACTTGTTATTATTATTTTTTTAATTTGGCCAGACAGAGACAGAGACACAGAGAAAGGGAAAGTGAGAAAGCAGGCCACCAGGTCTAGGACTTGAACTGCTGTAAGTCATGTGGGAATCTAGCATCTTTAACCTCCACATCACCTGCTGGCCCCAGCCAATGTAAAATAATTTTAAAATAAAAGCTAAACTATGTTTTAGATTGGGGTATATGTTTAATTGGACTTCACAATTATCTTTCATTATTTATAATAATTAAATCAGGTTTTTCTCAGATACCTTTTTTTTTTTTGGAGAGGTTTTTGCTATAGGGCGCATGCGTTCGCCAGACAGACAGAGAGAGACAGAGAGACAGAAAGCAAGAAACCACCCCCCAGGGGGGATGGTCACGCCGCAATCCCATCTCCTCCATTCTCCTCTCGGGATCTTGGGCACACACGAACACATGCTCAGTGTGAGTTTAAGCCACCAGGTTCGGGACTCAAACCATGGTCGGCTACATGGGAGTCCAGCAACGTGGACATCACACCATCTGCTGGTCCCTCAGATATCCTTTTTTTTTTTTTGAGAAGATTTTTGCTATAGGGCACGTGCGCTCGCCAGACAGAGAGAGACAGAGAGACAGAAAGCAAGAAACCACCCCCCAGGGGGGATGGTCACGCCGCAATCCCATCTCCTCCATTCTCCTCTCGGGATCTTGGGCACGCACGCACACGCGCCCAGCGTGAGTTTTAAGCCATCGGGTCCAGGACGCGAACCGTGGTCGACTACGTGGGAGTCCAGCGACATAGCCATTACGCTAACTGCTGGTTCCCCCTCAGATATCCTTTTAAACAAAATCCTAGTTGGCATGTTGATTAAAGGCCAAAAGTTGAGCTGTATTTTATACCCTGAGCAGTATCAGTGGAAACTTGAAAAATTGTAATAGAGTATTTTGAGGAGGGAAGTCACTGATCTAAAGCAAAAATGTTTGTTTTCTGTTTCTAATACACATGTATATGCTTCATAGACTAACACTTAAACATCTAGGTATAATTTGAATTGTTACTCTCATTTAGTTAAATTACCTATTTGTAAAAGCAGTCAGTTACCCTCAAAAGGCAGTAAAAATATATATAAGAATTAAAGGGAAAAGGTAGGATTAATCTTTTTCCATAGAGTGCTAGTGATAGTCTCCCTTTCTCACTTTAGATTGAGTCTATGAAGGTAAAGAGTTAACTTTCTTTGGTGTTCTGTTAAATTTAATATGTATTTCAAAGAAATGCCTCTGTAAAACAAAGCTTAGTCTCAGCTAATAAGGAAAATACCTGCATATACTTACTAACTCTTCAGGTTTTGAAAAGTTTAGTATATTTTGTAGGTTTTTAAAAATCAGGCAATTTATATTTTTCCATAGCAGGTTATCAGATATCTAAGACAAAGTTTTGATTAGTGGATTAATTTTAATCTACTTGTGTCAAACTTGGGAAAATGGTGGCATTAATCATGGAAAATTTGTTTTATGAAAATGTTAAAAATAAAGTTATGGAACACAGTATGCTTTGCTTTTATCACACAATATTACACCAGTCGTGATGGCTTAGTGGTAATGCAGTGCTTTGTGATGCTGAAGTCCCAGGTTTGTATCCTGAGGTCTCCTTATACAGACCCAGCACATGTGCATACTTCAGGTGGGTTGAGGTATGAGGGCTCTGTTGGGAGTATCTCTCCCTCTCAGAATAAATAAAGGTTATAAAAAAAAAAAAAAGG